TATTGTCTATAACAATATTATTCTGTTCCCATAATTTATGAGATATTATATAATTTATTGAGATCTCATTATTTTCGGACATCTCTGGTTCTTCAGGAATCGTACATTCAATATTTGATTGATCAATCTTTTCTAATGTGATTTCTTTTGAAGTTTTTGGTTGATTTTTCTCCTGTACTCTTCTTTTTCGAGGTACAGAGTCTTTTGAACCAACTGGTCGACCACGCTTCTGGCGTATTTGAGATTCATTTGAACAGCAGATTGTCCTGTAGGGACATTAATTTTTGCTGGAATATTTTCTGTTGGAGTATATGACTTTGTCACTTTTCTCGTGTCAACAAATACATTAGGTAGTTGAATTGCAACTCTTTGTAAATGAATGATTTTTTCAACCTCTTGTTCACATTGATTGCTGCGGGGATCAAAGTGAGATAGAGTTGTCTCATTCCAAAAAATTCTATCTTGTTTTTTAGGATGTAGTTTTTCTCCTCCCAAAGTTGGGAAAGTCATTTCATCAAAATGACAATCTGCAAAACGTGCAGTAAATAAGTCACCCGTTAAAGGTTCAAGATATCTAATAATAGATGGTGAATCAAAACCCACATAAATCCCACGTCTTCATTGGGGACCCATTTTAGTACGTTGTGGGGGGGGTGAAATAAGAACTTGGACAACACAACCAAAAACCTGTAGGTGAGAAATATCAGGTTTATGACCAAATGCAAGTTGCAAATGGGAATATTCATGATAGGCAGTTGGTCTTATATGAACCAATGATGCAGCATGTAATATGGTATGACCCCAAACAGAAGTTGGGAGTTTTGTTTTCATAAGTAATGATCTAGCAATAAATTGTAGACGTTTAATAAACGATTCCGCTAAACCATTTTGTGTATGAACATGTGCAACTGAATGTTCAATTTCAATCCCAATTGACATACAATAATCATCAAATGCTTGTGATCTAAATTCACCAGCATTATTAAGACGAATAGTCTTGATTGAGTAATCGGGGAATTGTGCTCGCAATTTTATGATTTGAGCAAGTAGTCTAGCAAATAGTACATTCCTAGTTGAAAGTAGGCAAACATGTGACCATCTTGTAGAAGAATTAATTAATACCATAAAGTAACGAAATAGTCCACATGGTGGGTGTATTGGCCCACATATATCGCCATGTATTCTTTTCAAGAAAGTTGGAGATTCAATATTGACCTTTGTAGTTGAAGGTCTAATGACAAACTTGCCTTGCGAACAAGCTACACATGGATAATCATTAGATAAAAGAATCTTCTGGTTCTTTAAAAGATGTCTATGTGAGTTGTTTATTATTCGATGCATCATTATGGCTCCTGGATGTCCAAGTCGATCATGCCAAAGTATAAAATTTTTTGAATCAACGAACTTCTGGTTCGTAACATTATTTGATTCAACCATTTTTATAAATATAAAATACATGCCAGACGGGAGTTCATGAAATTTTTTTTATCTGCTTTTTGCTAGATACAAAAGAAGTGATGCAAAGATATTCAACATTATTTTTTTGCATCGTCTCAATGTGATATTCATTGCAGCAAATATCTTTAAAACTAAGCAAATTTCTTCTAGATTTCCTAGAATAAAGTGTCTCGCCAATATATAATTTTGTATTATTTTGTAAAATAATACAAGCTCTTCCGGAGCCTTCAACGATATTCGACGCACCCGGTATCGTGTTAACATTATTTTCAACTAATATTAAGTCCAAAAAGTATTTTTTATCTTGAAGAATAATATGTGTAGTTGCACAATCAATTAAGCAGCTGTCTTGACTATCCATCATGAATCTATATATATAACAAAATAAACAAAATTTAAAAAAAAAAGTTGAATTTAGATTCAAAGAAGTAAACATTACTTAATATCATGAAATAAACGGTGCATAATAGAGTTTTATTTTTTTTATTTTTGTACGGAAAAGTAAAAACATATTTCAGACTGAATTTTTAAAACGAAAGAAATACTAGTAAATTAATCTATGTCTTCTATCACACCACCCCCAATCAAATGGTCAATATTTTCATTTGGATCAGTAAAGGAATCGGAGACATCCAAATGAGTCACATCAATTGGACCATCATAATCAGCAAAATTAGTCTCCAATTTTTCTTTTCCCTTGATTGATCTCTAGTAGAGATCCACAAGATGTTTTGAGATACGACACGTATGTGCCTAATGCCCTTTCATTCCATATCTGAAGCAACTTTCTTCATGCTCTTCTTTAGATTTGCCACTCTCGTTTGCTTTGTGCCTTTTGAATTTATTGCCTTATTGTTGATAACTTTGTTGATTATTTCTTCCATGATTTATTCCACGTCCACGTCCACGTCCGCGTCCACATCCTTGTCTTGATATTGTATTTGCTTCAGACAATGTAGTACCATTTGCTTCAGGCAATGGTACAGAACCATTTGGACGTAATCCATGATTTTTCATCAACAATTCATTATTTTGTTCAGCAACTAGTAGGCAAGATATAAGTTCTCAGTACTTTTTGAAGCCACGCTCACGATATTGCTGCTGCAGGAGCACATTCGAGGCATGAAAGGTGAAGAAGGTTTTTTCCAGCATATCTTCATCGGTGATTTTTTCTTCACACAAAGTCAACTTTGAACATATTCTGAACAATTCAGAATTGTACTCACTAACTGTTTTAAAGTCTTGCAAACGAAGGTGCATCCACTCATAACGGGCTTTGGGGACGACTATAATCCTCTAATGATCAAATCTTTCAGTTAACTTTTTCGAAAGAACTTATGAATCTTTCTCAGCGAGATATTCAATTTTTAATCCATCGTGAATATGGTGACGGAGGAAAATGAGTGCTTTTGCACGATCTTGCAGGGATTCATTGTTTCCTTCTTTTATTGTCTCTCCCAGACCCTTTGAGACGAGATGGATATTAACATCCAGTATCCATGACAGATAATTTTTACCAGATATGTCAAGTGCAGCAAACTCAAGTTTCGTAATATTTGCCATTTGTTTAACTACACAATAAAAAAATATAATTAGTTTCGAAAAATATGATTAATCATCACATGTTAATCAAATAGTCAATATCAACATGACTTTAAGTTACGTGTTTTCCTCTAGAGATAAACACTAATTTGAAATAATATGTTCTTCGAAACATATGCTACTTCTAGAACACATTATATTTTGTTATTATTTTTTCAAGTGCAATATGTCAATATTCTTTTGGAATATTGAGAGTTATAATTTATGCTCTTTAGGAGCAAATAATATTCTTATAATGTTGTGCTATTTTTGGAGCAACAACGAATAGATCTATGATTAATATTCTTCTGGAATATTAATTATAATGTTGTGCTACTTCAGGAGCAACAACAATTAAAAATAAATTTAATGTAATGTTTCATAACTAAACATAAAAAAATGATAATACGTCCAATTGCTCACCATTAATTAATATACAAATACATGTAAAATATTATTTTGAATTAATAACATGAGTCGAGTGAAACACAAAAATAAAAAATAAAAATTGGTGACATGTAGAAATCTATTCATATATTATGGCACGAAATTCTAATTATATACAATTAAAAGAATTGAATAAGTATTAACCAATTAAGGCATGAAATTTGCAGAAACCAATAGATTTGAGAAAAAGATGAGTTGGGTACAGCTATTTATTAATTGTATATTATATATATATGGAATCAGCTAAAATAAAGATCTGGAATTGAAACTTGCTTACAAAGAACATTGACCAATTAAACAAAAAAAATAAAATTATAAGCATGTGTAGAATCTAAAGGGCTAATTTAAATATAAGGAGGGTATAGGAACATGAATTAATGCATATCAATTGATTTAACATTCCATAAAAATGCACGTGGATTGATGTAAAGGAAAAAAATATTAATTAATTCATAAAGAGGTACAAAGAAAACATAATGATCGAGAAAGATGAGATCACGTATTGCAGATTCAACATATGTATATGTAAAATTCACGTATTATCAAATTAATTTTGATATACGTGATAAATGATTATGAAAAAGAATTACTACCTTTTAAGAGTTTCATACTTATAACGTGTTATAAAATGAGAGGAAAAGAGAATAGAGAAAACTCAATAAACTTTTGTGTGTATTATTGAAAACCAAAACCCTATATTTATAGGTAAGAATTACGGATACAATGGTAATAATTTCTAGAGCTACAAGGGTACAAATGTCATTCACCAATAAACTTTAATGGACTTTCCATTTACAACAATATATATATAGAAAATTATCATATCCATTTTGTATCATTTTGGCGGCATAGTTGAGTGGTAAGGCAGAGGATTGCAAATCCTATAATTGAGTTAGAATGCATGATCTCTTCTTGAAGTAACAGAAAGTTTTTAGCCATGCTTGTTTTTACTAGAGAAGAACGTCACAATTTAACAAGGTACGAGGTCCGAAACTTTTTCGTAAACAAGTTTTTGAATCGTCATTTAAATTTAGTATTTAATTTTTGATTTTTTCTTGTAAGGTTTAGTATTAAACTTATGAATTCAAGTTAATTTTTTGATAAAAATATAATTAAAAATCAGTAGAAATTACTGGTGCTTGCTTTGTTAAAGCCACTATGTATATTTAGTAGAATTCATAATTATGATTCACCGCTCATCTTTATCAATTAAGCCCTTATTTGATTCCCATTTTTTCAAGAATGTATTTTTTTAAAATTCATTTTCAATCACACATTCTTCTATAAAATAATTATACACGAATTTTTCTTACATTTTAACCACATATTTTTTGAAAAACTACTATTTCATAATTCATTTTATCCCAAAAATGGGAATCAAACAGGGGCTAATAATTATTCACAAACAAGTACTCAACAATTCCATTTCTTAAGTCACAACTTGTTCCGCAAGCAAAATTGGGAGGAAAGTCGTTGCATTCAAACCTATTAAATAAAACGGCATCGTATTCTTTAGAAACGGACTCCGTTGACGTTTTATTTTTATTTCTCTCGATCTCATTTTTAGATAGGAAATTCTCCGTTTGCTTCGTGCTCTCTCTGAATAATTCATTTAAGGTATGTCAATTTCTGACATCGAATGCTATCCAGTTCATAGTTTAGTGGAGTTCCTGATCAATCAGAATGCTGATTTTTTTTTTAGTTTTTTGGTATGCAAGAAATTTGTGATTTTATCAATTTTATGCATTTATTAGGAAATAGGAAAGAAAGAGGAAAAAAGGCATCTATTGCATAGTCTTTGATTGTTTTGGTCTTTTTTGGGACATATCATCGAGCAACTGATGTGCAGTGTTCTTTTTTACTTCTAAGTGCAAAATTTGAAGTGGGAGATTTCGTTTGGATTTGAGCCATAGGTTCACTCACAATTCTCTCTGGAAATGCACGAGCAAGGTTTATCTTTGATTGCATTTTCAAGTACTACCAGTGAAAAGTAATGAGATTGATGTTGGCCATTTAGGAATTTTTTTCTTATTCGCGAGTTATATTAGGCTTGAATGATCCTAATTTGATCAAGATCAAAGATGCTTCTTTGCGAAGATGAATTTTTAGTTTAGCTTTATTTTAACTAGTTAATGAGATGAACCAAAATGGTCTGAGCTGAAAATGAACACATTCTTCAGCTCGTTTTGAGCCTGAACGATCCTTAGGCCCTTACCGAATGATTATGCTAGGCAGCCAAGCCTCCCTGTTGAACACCAATAGGCTTGGTCTATTTTAAGTGCTAGTCCTAAGTAACTCTTTCCTCCTCTCAACAGTCCTTTTCTAGTTAGATCTTTTGGTCACCCTTATGGCGTGGAACCAATTCTAATGCCATATGTTACAAACCCCAATAATGAGATAGCTTAAGATCACCTGCAGTGGGTGGAAAAGTTCATCAGTTTCATGCATTAGTATTATAATCTTTTGTGTCATACGGCGGGGATCACTCTTAAATCCTTCTTCTTCTTCTTCTTCCTTTTTTTTTTTTTTTTGTGCTTATCTTTTGCGATTAGTTCCTGGCTATGAATTGATTAAACCTGTTTAATTGCTAGTTTTGTGTGCCATGTTTAACCTGAAGCATATTTGTGGATTCAATCTCATTTTGCTTAATGCAATTCCTCTGTTTCCTTTTAACCTTATGTTGTAATATTTTTTTATTTGTTGTTTTTTTTTACTTCATGCTCAAGTAACTTCATGACGACACTAAGCTTTTTATCAGGTAGTAATTACTAATGACAACTGAGAATAGCCCAATTGAGAAACTGCCATCTTCTGCAGTTCAAACCCAAGCAATGGCTTCATGTCGAAAGAAGAAGAATGAAGAAGCAACTTTTCTGCAGGATGTGAGGGATCACATTGATGAATTCGTCAATGCTTCTATGGAAGAACACAAAACTTGCTTTCAGAAGACAATCAAGAAGGTTGGCTGTTAAAATTGGAAACGAATATGGTCACTCTTTTGGCTGTAATATAAGTTGAACTCAGTGCTTATTAATTGGCTTTGATGCATTTTTAGATGTTTGGCATATCGAAAGTTGTTGCAGAAAGGACTTCAGAGACTAAGGAAGTAGAAAGTTCTCTGCCTCTTCAGACAACATTAGCTGAGTAAAACGTGTGGTATTTTTATTGTGATGTACTGAAAATCTAGATTATGGTTAATGTTGGCTAGGGCGTTATGTGAATGTATAATTTTTTAATTTTATTCGTTAGTCGAATTTCTACCTTTATGTTTCCATGTGCTCGAAATTGAGTTCCTGTATGAAACTGATTTTAGTTTAATTGTTTTCTAAGTTCTAACAAAGTCCTATTATGTTAAAATAACGATGACGAATTGGGGATTTTTGGAAGGACCTTACTATATATACATCAAGGTTTACATCAGAGATTACATAATATCGACATGACACTCTACCATTTGTCAATATGAAATACGTTCAACTTTTTTATCCAATATTTCTCCTCTACATTATTTTTGGTAACTGCTTATATACCATTTTTATGTACAAGTAGCAAAATCCTTTTTGGAATCATGATCCCTTAATGCTTTGATCATGGATATTATAGAACTGCAAACTAAGTTTCGTTCTCAATACATATGGATATGGCAGGGACTTTATCATACAACGTTGTTTGGTAATTTGTGTATTAGTGTGTATGGGCCCCTTCTCTTTTCTCGGCTCTTTCTTCAATGAAAATGTATGCTAATCTATGATGCACGGATATAAACACATGTTAGATAAGACATGTGTCGACTTTGACACGTGATTTTTAAAAAAAAGTGCTGACATGATAAGTCGTCGACACAATGATTAAGTTCTTTATAATTCTTCATTATATAGTATAAATTTAATTTTATACTTGTTATTAATTTTCTTGTTGAAGTCCTTTAAAAATATGAGCATTCTTTGTTATTTAATAATAACTTTAAGTTAAAATATATAATATTTTAATAAAGAAAGATAAATATATGTGTTGGACACGAACACACTACCATAGTGTAAGTGTTCGTACAACAGAACTACTAATTAAGTGCAAGTGTATGTACCTTCTATCTTGCCGTCTAGTCTTGGCAGCATGCCTAGTGAAGTTCTATAGGTCATTATATGGAGTTGGAATTTTGCGAATCTAATGTTTCATGCCTAACCTTAAGGCTTAAACTATGTAAAAATTTGGAACATATAGAGTTTTACAACACAGGTATTACTTTTCACTCGGACCACACTTTCTATGCTTTGATACTACTATATCCCTCCATATTTAGTGGCTTGTATCAACGATAAATATAAGAGAAAATTGCACCATTAATGTTGGGTTTTGATACTCAATAAATCAGGATGAGGATGTTAAACAGATGTTGGATAAGTTATATCGACACCTTAGTGATCGCTCGACCCAGAAACAACTTGGGACTATTTGAAGCAACTAAATTGAGTTAATGTTGCTCGTGGCCCAACACTTTTGGATGGTCCAAGTTGTGACTTTGCATTGGGCTGATATATTGGTTATTTGGATTGTTGGCCCAATTATCCTTTGGCCCATTGGTTACCCTAAACTAACCCATTATATATACATTAATCCCTAGCCATTTTGTTGCGTGTTGGTTTTGTGATAGAGAGAAAAACGTGAGTTTCCTGGCTAGCTTTGGATATTATTCCTTGAGGTTCTAATTGCTACTCTATTTCCTCTTTCTTTGTGGTTTGCAAACCAATCACCAAGTGTCTTCTTTGTGGGGTGAAGACTTGTGGCAACCAATCGGGAGTTGTGGGTCAAGTAAAGCTCGGTTGGTGTCTATTTGGTTGATGAAACTGAGCCCGGATAAAGATTTCTCATGGAATTTCCAGGACAATTAATCTCCAATTTATAAATCTTGTTGCAACTCAGTTTCTTCTCGTGAGTCGCATTGAACGATTCTATCTATTTGGCTGTCAACAATGCACCGTTGGGAGATAAAATGGGTCAACCCTCAATTTTAATGGAAAAAGGTCAATAAAGAAAAAGAGAAAGAAAGTGAAAAACTGGGAAAAAGTAGCAAATTACACCCCAACTTGCCTCTACTTCAGCCCCATTCTCACCTTATGACCCTAATGTTGACTCTGCCCTTCCCTCACGTGGGCGGGGTTTTGCTTTTCTTTTTCATTTTATTTGCTCTCTAAATTAGAAATATTCTTTATTGTACATAAGTTGTTCTTTATAAATATAGAGCTACATTGATGATGCTCTACCAGCCTGTGTAGCTAAAAAAAGGTTGACAATGGACCTGAATCCATACATATCAGAACAAATAATGCTACAAAATTAAAATACTATAGACATTGCGATTGAGGAAAAGATGTTGAGGATAAAGCTTAAACAAGGTCTGTCGATTTTTCCTAAATGTGTTATTAATGAACAACGATCGAGGGAGATGTTTGACATTGGCAAATTTTATCTACAAAAATTAACAACTCGGCCTTGATTAATGATTCCTGAGCATTTACCTCCTAATAATAGTTTTGCAATTATTGGTGTCCTTATCCTTGCAATTAAAAGCATTAAACTAAACTAAGCACCACGTTTATTGGAGTATGTGGTTTAAGGTGTCAATTGATAAAGCGCTAATCAAGAGTTTTTTAAAGCATCTCCAAAATACTCTTTAAATATGACGTGCTTTCTATTTTAAAGAATCAACTCTTAAAATCATGTTTCAAGAGACTTTTTAAATTAATATTTTAATTTAGAGAGTTAGTTTGGCTCTCCACACATTTATTGAAGTATGTGGTTTAAGGTGTCAATTATAAAGCGCTAATTTAGGGTTTTTTTTAGAGTATCTCCAAAAGACTCTTTAAATATGAGACGTTTTCTATTTTAAAGAGTCAATTCTTAAAATCATGTTTCAAGAGACTCTTTAAATTAATATTTTAATTTAGAGAATGAGTTTGGCCCTTCCACATTTGGAGAGCCAAACCAAAGCGTTTCAAATTTCAATGCAGGAAAATAATAAAATAATTTAGTGGAAAGCTAGTTAAAATAAAAGATAGAGTAAAATAATAAATATTTTTTTGGAAGTAATAAAATTAAGTGTCGAATATAAAGAGCTTGTTAGAGTACTTCAAAAATTTAATTCTAAATTTCTAGATGCTCTCCAAATAATAGAATATATTATTTAAAAATAGAGTTTCTTGAAGATGTTCTTAGGAAAGGAAAAGAACTGTTTAGAAGGGTTGGAAAACTTAAACTAATCAAGAAATTGAATAGTAACATGGATGGATGTGCAATTTGGCGATTTAGGTAGGTGAAATGAGTTCTTGATAAATGAAACGCGAGCTTAATTTGAGCAATATGGTTAATTTTCCGCATTCAACATCTTTACTATAGTATAGTAGATGGGCTCTAGAGACAGAGACATGCAAGTTTGACAAAATATAGCAGATTAGCAACTATTTGTATAGTTGCGTCCACTCTGTACCACAAATGGTATATATTCATTAGTATAACGAGGAAACTTGAAATGATTTCAAAAACTTAAGAACTTAAAACTTTTTTTGGTCTAGCCAATTAGCTTGGATATAACTAGGAAGAAAATTGTGTTGCTAGGTGATAGTCGAGATCACCTATTACAGTTAGAAAGTCATCTTCAAATCAATGTTTAAGAGTGTAAGTTCGGAAAGTTAGTTAATTCGTAATCTGAAAAAAGTGAAATCATGTTATTTAATCTCTCTTTAAGTGCATTTTAAAAAGAGTTGATTCTAAGCCCTTGTTTGGAGTGATTTTCTGGAAAGTGGGTTTTTGAGAACTAACAATTTATTTATTTATTTATTTGAGAATGTTATTAAGAAGTAAGACAAAGTTACGTGGTAATGTAAAAAATGGATTTTCAAAAACGTGATTATAAAATGAGCACAAGTTTCAAAAATGCACTAAGTTGCTAGAATCTCGAAAATCTTGAATATTAGGCTATGCTTAAAAGTAATTATATTCACTTTTAAGTAAATTTTGTTGACAATTTTTTCGTTCTTATACGATAAATAAATCTATTTTATTATGACTATTGGGGTGTTTGGGTGCTGAACTGCGGATTGAAATTTTTGGTTACCTTCCGGCCAATCAATTTGCAGTCAGGCTCATAATTTGGACCAAGTCTTTATAATAAGAACTTTCTCATTAATCCAATTCCCTCAGTTCATGAGATTATTATTATTTTTTATTTTTTTATATTCTATGAGCTAGATGTTGTATATTGTTCAAAATCAATAAGGAGCATGTGGAATGAAAAAAACAATCTGGAGGCCAAAATTTGGCCTAAGCGACCACATAGGCCAAAATAGGCTGCAGTCGCATAGGCATATTCAATTGTGATGAACTATGCCGTCGCATAGATTTGTTTTATATGACTTCATAGAAGACTCTTCTAGCCATTAGTGACCATTTTGTTTAAATTCTTGGTGGCTTTACGAGGGTTTTTGGAACCACTTCGTATGATAATGTTTGATGGCTATATATGTGTGTGTGTGTGTGGTTGATGACCAAGGAAAAACATTGAAAAACACAGAGAATCATAAAGCTCCATTTGAGATCAATTTTTCATTTCAAAATGTTGAAAATCCATTTTCTTCTCATATTCAAACCCTACTTTTGCATTATCAAGTTTTGGAGCATTTCACTAATGTTTGAGTGTTAAATCCTAGCCAAGGCTTGATAAATCTTGCAAATTGTTTGCCAAGATCCCTTCGATCCCTTCAAGCTAATTCAATTCGAGGGGACAAAAATCGTTTGAGGACAACGAAAATGTGTTCGGTCCTTCATCTTCATTTTCATCTTCTTGTCATTTCTAATTTGTTTCTTCTCTATTTCTCTTTGTGCAAACTTTTATTTAACAGCAGTGGAATATTTGTATATAGAGAAATTAAAATTCTTACAATACCTCGATTTAATTAAAATATTTATTACAGAAGAGAAGCACTTATAGGCTTCCTCCATTGATCATTATGATCATCATACATATGCTTAAAAAAAGACTAGAGTAGCTATGATCCTTAAATTATTACTGCATATTTTTATTCATATTGCTAAGAGCTTCTGGAATATAATAGGACTGCTGAAAAGTTGATCATTACGAGCGTAATGACACTTAACTGAAACTTTAGATTCTTCATCCTGCATGGAAAAATAACCAAGATGCGTTAGGGAAGAAAAACAAAAACTAAAATCTTATTCATTTTGGAGTTCAATATCGTCTAACACTATGTATCAAACATGCACTTAGAGTTCGATTTTTATTTTGAGAACTAGAGCATATGGTAGGACAGTTTTGTAGGGATCAGTCCTCGTGCACTTTATATTTTCTAATGAGTGGTAAAATATACAAGTCGAGCACTTGTTAAATATGTGTCCTATGACTCGCCCTTGGAAAGATGTAGATGCGTGTTTATGTTATTCAACATGCATTAGGAAAAATAAGAGGACTGACGGCAATTGGCCAAATTTAGCATGGTAGAAAATGACTTCAAATAGAAACCAGTTCGTGATGAATAATGATTATACAATGGATTCTTAAGTGTTCGTGGTGTTTTGATCGGGTGGGTTGGGGCAGTGTACACTGTATACCTCCTTTGTTACAGGCGGCCCGAGAGGTTCTGCTGTAGGGATATGGCACTTGGCCACTCTCAATGTATTTGACATCTTCCATAAGAATTTCATAATGCCTCTTCACCTCTTCTGGGGTTTTCCCTCCGACAGCCCTTGCAACTTTGGCCCAACGGTCAGGTGTGTCAGTATCATAAACGGCCAGAGCTTTCTCAAACTCCTTGTTCTCCTCGGCAGTCCAAGTGCCTGAGCCATGGGAGGACATAGAGCTAGAAGCCATTAATTTCTTGTACAGATTAGGTCTAGGAAGTTATAGAGTAACTGGATGGAACACTACTATTGAATATCTACTCTAGAAAATGGGATGAAATGGAAGAACGTATAAATGAGGGAACAAATATTCTAGGATGGATTATTCTTCTTCAACTCAACAGAGAAGACAGCTTAGCGAAGAGTGATGAGAAAATGAAGAGCTGATATGCGTAGAAGTGGTGGTAACTGCTTGAGCTTTTATAGGCTTTAGGAATTGAGGGGGTGGGGTCATGCCAGTTGGCCTATAAACTTGCAAAAATTGAAGAATTTTAGTAATTTGTCTCATCAAGAACCACTACTGAGCAGGACAAAAGAACAATATAACTTTGAAGAATCTCCATCTTCATGAAAAGGTTGTTTATATGTCCATTTTTTTTGTATAAATTTCACTTTCTCTTATAGTTTAGCGTAAAATCATATGATGTTTTTTCATTTGTATAAACATCAGAAGATGTAAGGCATGCTTAAAAATGACTTTTTTACTGCTTTTCTCGACTGCATGTATGTATACCAAGTATATGTCATCCAGAGATGCAAGTATATTCTATAATCATTAACACAAAATCAATCTTATTTTAAGTTGTGAATTATCGTATTTAGAACGAGAAGTCAGCATATTCATAGTTGTTCACATGGTTGATTTATTGGGACTGCTTAATCCTTTCTTAATTAGTTAAAACCAGTGATTTAGTTCCTCCAGGTACACGCGTACTGCTTCAAAGAAAAAGTCTCCTCAAATAGAGCAAAACTATAGTACTATAGACTACAATCACAAGATATATTGATGCTCGTATAATTGGAGTATATAAAGATAATCAAGAAGAGAGATCTTATACAGATGGAATGGGCATGGCCAAGCACGGGCCAGGCCTGTGGGTCCAGGGCAACGAAATATGGGGCCGACTGGGCTAGCCTGGCCTGCCTTAATCCCCCGACCGTGTATGGCCATCAGATCTCTCCCCAAACACTGCCAGGCCGCCATTCAACATCCATAAGTCCCTAGTATCAAGGCTATTACCATCCTAGTATAGAAAATATCTATACCATTCCTATCAAGAATTGTATTTGCCCTATCAAATTCTGTTTAAATTGCTGTCTTCAACATGATCCACCATGAAGTTCCTGCTAAAACAATTTTAAAGAATGAGTCATGGGCAACTGAAATTCAATTGCAGAATCTTACAATTATTATTGTTGTTGTTATTGCTATTGTTGTTGTTGTTGTGGTTGTGGGCTAGTAACCAATATGAAATTACATTTGTCTAGTTTGGTTGATTCATTCTTTCCTACATTCGATGCTTGGCATATAATCTTCTATAAAGATCTTGGAATTAAAGTGTTTCTCCAAACTATGCCAATCCACCCCACACACCCCTACTTTTAATCCCCGGAAAATTTGACAAACAAAAGGAAAATATAAATTGTATTTACAATATTATATATGATCTGGGGTGAGATCTTGCGATTTTTGGAGTCTATGCCAAACTTTGTATGGGTTTTCTATAAATAGTTGAAAAAAATTACTTGCAATGATTAAAAATAATTTTTTTATAATAAATAAAAACATTCGAAGTTTCATTAATGATAGTTGCATGTATGATTTGTGATTTTTTAAGGCTGAGCCGATAACTTAATTTAGAATAATGCTATCTAACACTAGTGGTGTTATAGCACCAATTTAAGTGTCAACACTTTATAGTTTCAATTAAATGAGTTATGTGACTTTGTATTTAAATGAGTTTATCATTTAATGTCATGTAATTGTTACCTAGGTGTTCAATATCATGATGATGAATAACATTATTTCTTCTTTTTTGGGCTAATTAATGACTTCATCCAAAATTATAAAATATTTGGGCCTAATACCTTCTAGCAAAAAATTAGGCCTTATTTTTTGGGGCCCTCATGAGCGCAAGACCTCCCATGTCTATGATACAGAGGTGTTGGACTGCGCCTGGAGTCTAATCATACTATAAACTTATTCCCCTTGACTACACATCGACGTAGTATGAGTTTAGGTGCATTTTGGGTTTATAAATATATCGAGTATTTTATTCATGTGTATGTTTGCTCTAATATTTTTACATTTGTACAAGGAGAGGGCACATTTAGTGCTATATGGAAGGCTCTAGCCTTTTCATTGTCCTTCCCTAGAAGTAGGACCTCTAAGGTAACATGACATGGTTAAGTTAATTCAAGATTTAGGGGAGTTTTTTTCCTTTTTCTATTGTGACAGACTGAGATCTGCTTTATATTTAAAAAGTACAATACTGAGCGAAATAACTCTAAGATTGGGAATGAACTAAAATAAATTTATAGATTCTTGTGTGTGTTTATTTTCTTATTACGTTTTACTTAAGAATGATCCTGTAATCAGGATTAAGTCGTAATCCCTCCAAGAAAGGACTATTTGAATGTCCAAAAGAGAGCATTTTATTGGTCCAATATAAATATCTGCATAGTAAAAAGCTAAGTTTAGGAAGCAACATTGTTCAAAGGTTGAAGTTGTAAATGCCAAAAGAGATTATTGCAGCAAGTGGAATAAAGTAGCCCCAACCTACATATGGTCCTAACTCAATGTCGGTCGAAAATCTTGCAAGATAACATGAAGATCTGTAATTTCCCAGCCAGAATAATACAAACAATTAGGAAAAGACATATTTGACTCAAAACATTGCTATTAATAACTGTTAAAGATGAAGATACTTGCAATACTCTTTTTTGGGCTTGATGCATAGAATGATGACACCGAAAGGGATCATGAACCCTTTCCGGTTCTCATCTTCTGTTCTCAGTTCTTCTTGATTTTTCTAAAAGAAGATACTAGATGTGAGTGATTTCCAACATTATACAAGTTGTGCTGATTTACATCTATTGATCTTTCCTAGAATCCCAAAACTACTTCCCAAAATGATAATTTTCATCAAGAAGCCTCCTCAATGAATAACTAAGATCAAACACTGTAATGGTGTGTTCATTATGTTAGTCAGTTTGATTTGACATCACTGAAGAAAAGAAAGTTAGGATCTTTCGTAGTATCCTTCAGTATTGCGTACGAAAGTTACCTCAAGGAACAGACTTATATTTGAACTCAAAACATTGTTAATACTACTTAGATATGAAGATTCTTGCAATAAAAGTTGCTACTCTTTTCACACTTGATTCATAGAAAATGGTAAATATGGAAATAGATTGTGAGTCTTGGATGTTGAGAATCTGGGCCTATTTTGATATTTCTCAAAGTGAACCTTGATAACAAGTGTACAAATAAGTCCAGATTCCCAGCACTTTATACAAGTTGCCTTCATTGATTTACATGCACGGGTAATTTCTAGAATCAATAAAACTACTTCCCAAGATATAATTGGCTCATTGAGAAGTCTTCATCACAAGGGCATAACTTATAATAATCATAGCAATGACCTATTGTAGAAGTTAAAATCTTGGCGCCATGCAGTCAACCACTGCACACCAATCATATTTTGAGGAAATGGCTTGTAATTCGGATCAAAACATTTCTATTATGGGCTAGAGAAGTTGCTAATTTTTTTGGTACTTGTTGCATAAAAATCTGAGGAAATGGAAAGGCAGTGTGGACCGTTTAATACAAGTTGTGAAATGATATGTATTCGGAGGGCCACAGGCTAATGGGGTTCCAATCCAATGATTAGTTGAAAGTTACATTGCAGCATGTTGAGGAATCTGTACGTAGAAAAATAAAAAGCACTGAGAATTTATATATGCCTCGTTCTTGCTAGATTTTTGGAATAATTATCACTGAGTAAAATCCTGCATATATGTAGGGTGGTCCAAGCTTAGAGCTTCTTTTGAATGACCTAAGGATATCAATTATTTTATGTTATTCGTAACTAAATACTATCACATCATGATTATCTCAAACGTGATTAGCCTTGAAAATGACTTGGCACGTTGCTTACATAGAACCTGAGATGACCCTTGCATGGCCAGGGATTTGAACTGGCCTGGCTAAGCCCAGTTTTCCACCTTTTCTTGTGACTTATCTCGATCCTGTGGCTGGATTGTACATTGTCCTACAATCGTGGCTTGTGATTATTGTGCATTGAACTATAGTATTGCTCTACCTGAGGAGTTTTTTCCCTCTAGTTGAAATTATATTCTAACAAAGGATTTAAGGTAGTCCAGAACTTGAAAGAGGATTGATTTTGTATTTATCATAGTATCTAATTATAATTCTAGTGTCCTGTATACTTGTAATTATTTTTCTCATTTTTACTCGCATGAGATATATTTTGGAGAAATTGTTGCTTTCTAATGTTTATATAAATCAAGTAGAATCATATGATTATGACACTAAACTGTAAGAAAACAAGTGATTTTTATTCATAAAAATGGAAAGTGAGACAACCTTTTCATGAAGATGGAGATTCTTCAACATTCTAATCACTAAAATTCTTCAATTTTTGCCACTTTTGGCATGACCACCCCACACCACTCTCAGTTCCTGGAGCTTATAAAGATCAAGCAGTTGTCACCTCTTCTGGACATATCAACTCTTGATTAGTTTCTCGTAAGTCTTGAATTCAGTCTTCTTTCTCGAGTCTAAGACAAATAATCCCTCTTAAAATTACTTCTTTCTCATATATATATACATCGTTCCATTTCCTCACATTTTCTGTAGAACAATCTATTGTTTAATTCCCCTAGTGTAAAACTTTCCTTTCCTAACTTGATTTGTTAATAAAATCTTAATCTCGCAAGAAATTAATGGCATCTAGCTTGATATCATCTTGTGGAACTTGGACTGCTCAGCAGAACAAGGCCTTTGAGAAAGCCCTAGCCGCGTATGACACTGACACGCCTGACCGTTGGGCCAAAGTTGCTAGGGCTGTCGGGGAAAAACTCCAGAAGAAGCAAAGAGGCATTATGAAATTCTTGTGGAAGATATTAAATATTCTATGACGATCAAAACATATTGCACTTAAAAACTCTTCACATAACGATCATGGCACTCTTAATAGTGAAGAGTAAATAGTCATCATGAGTCGCCCTCTATTTTACGCTTCGCTTTCTTGTTTTGTATTGCTTACATCTTAAGTTTGGCTGAGTCTCATCAATGACATCATTCCTCTTAGTTCTGCAATGCACGTTGAAGAACTTACACATGCATCACTATCATGGTCGGCA